GTCACTGCAAGGCTGCTTCCTGATTCAACAAGGACCACTGGAGGCCATCTGTGTTGAGACCCTGCAGATCCAGCAGGACTGTGTGTGTGTGTGGTGTGTGTGTTGGTGTGTGCGTGGTGGTGTGTGGTTTGTGTTGTTGTGTGTTGTGTGTGTGTGTGTGTGTGTGTGTGTGTGTGTGTGTGTGTGTGTGTGTGTGTGTGTGGTGTGTGTGTGTGTGTGTGTGTTGTGTGTGTGTGTTGTGTGTGTGTGTGTGTGTGTCTACACAGATTAAGCTGTAGTAGAAGAATAAAAAGAGAAATATATAAAAAACAAAGATTGAGGTCATCCAAAGGGATTCAATAGTCTCATAACTACATAATTTTGATTTATATACTATTTTCCAATATGAATTGTATGTTAACGTTAAATCTAATAATAATAAAGAAAAATCTGAACAATGCCATGATTACTTTTTAAATGTTCAAACTATTTAATTTTTTTATATTTACAGTTATTTATATATGTTTTTTTAAAATATTGATTTTAGGGTTTACTTTATATATAATCTTTATAGCATAAGCAATGTACATACATTTAAATGTGGGTTCAGTTGAATCATTTGCATTTCAGTTTTTACGATTATTTGTATTTGAATATCTATTTCATGGTTTATTCAATTTAACATTAATAAAGTGTACTTTTCACGCTATTACAACGGCAATCATCAATATTTCGTATGAAAACGTGCATGTGACCCTGAATGCACATGGATTCCCCAAAGCTGTATCTCCTATTGAGATCTTCCTTCACTCTGTGCAGACTTTTAGCGCTCTCTTCAGGGGACTGTTCTTCTGTGAATAGATGGTTTAATATCATGTAGTTTGAAAGTCTCAGATGGAGAGAGTTTCAGTTCTGCTAGTGCACCTCCCCCAATGCTCTAACTCATTACCCGGAGTAGGAAGAATATGTCCATCTTGAAATGTTATGCTGACACCTATCCCCTGTGTGTATTGTCATACTGATATTCTGTACAAACTGTGAAGACCACTGAGACAAATGAAACATTTGTGATATTGGGCTATATAAATAAACATTGATTGATTGATATAAGCTTTTTATTAAAGTCTTATTTTCACAAGTCAGTGCTGCTTCGCTCTGAAACGAGAGACCATTGGAGTTAATTCTTTTCAGAGAAAAAGTGTCCAAGCTGTATTAATTTAAATATTTAGCAGCTTTAAAACACCATCTCTATCCAAATCTGACAAAACCTGCTAAAATATCTCAAAAATGTCACTTTGAGAAGATATAAATACCAAAAACTGTCTCATCATGCTTCCCAAATGTCACCTTCTTACTTCCTTCTCAAAGGCACTGTTTCCCTTCTCCTCCGTTACATCACCATCACTCTCCTCACAATGTCGCGCTGTCCTCTCCTCCTCCTGAGCTCCATCACCTCCATCTCTGGCTCTCTGCAGACACTTCCTGCATGATGATTCAACTGCCACCTTAACGGGGAAACACCCTGTGGATTTCCAAACGTATTTTCCTCCGTGAAGCCTCAATTAACAACTTCTTCTCACAATGAACGCTCTCATAAAAGTCCTCATTCAAAGCAAGACGATGTCCCTGTGAAGGGTGGGATCAACACATTCTACATCTTGTGAGAGTGGAATTTCATAAGCAACGAAAACACACTAAGTGAAAAATACCCAGAATGCACTGCAAGTTATTGGAAAATAAAGCATGAATCTCACTTTTTCTTAACCACGAAAAAGGACCTTCTCTGTCTTTGCTATTTTTATATCTTATAGCTGGGTTCTACTGTAAATGTTTACAGATGTTTTAAGGAGCCTGTTGAAAGGGATTCTGGGGAATGTAGTTCATGCGTCACCACATGCCATACTGTATATTGTTTTCAGGCTTCTCAAATGCTATCAATTAGCATGTTAGCTGCACTTTAAGTCACTCGGTAACTCTTTTAAGAACTGTTCGCCTTCCTTCACGCCAGATATATGAGTAAATATAGCCAGATGGGCTGTATCGCTGTCCATCGGGCTGGAACTGTCCCTTTCTATGTGAATGTAGCCTGGTTGAGGTGCTGGACATTGAAATGAATTTAGACACTACTGGTGAATTGTGCAACTAATATATCTCAACATAAACTTCCCCAGCAGACTACTACCATTAGGATGATTCGTTTTGAGTAGTAGTATCTTAAATGTTACGTTCAAATATGCAAACTAGGCATTTACTTATTAAATATCCTCAGATCTTTGGAGACCAATCTGAATACTGGATACATTTTGGGGCGTTTTTTGCAATTTTATGACTAAAAGTGTAAATGAGGCATTATTAAATGTTATATTTTGGGTGTACTGTATCTTCCCCTCACTATGTGCCCTTTTCTACTTTTTCTCGTGATATCCGAGGACTCACCGCTGATCCACGTGGCCTCGGGGTTGTGGACGCTGAACTCTGGTTTGTAAAGATCCGCTGCAGTCAGCCTGGACTTGTTGTTTCCTGGGAGCTCAGCTAAGAAAAAACAGCGTAAAGTCAGATCCGGTCTATTTCTTACAGCTTTATGACAAACAAGGGAGTAAATAGCGGTAGATTAGCGAGCATACCGGGCGTGAGGACGACCACGGACATGGTGATGAGCGAGCACACGGCCACGATCACCAGCAGAGAGATGGCGATGCCCTTCCAGTTCCTCTCCTGAGGGCTGACATCCACAAACTCCTGCACACACACACAGAGAAGAATAACTCAGCATTGGTGCTCTGTGAGTCAGCTGCTTGAAAAAAAACACTTGTTCCTGTCGTTGTTGTACTTTTAAGCAAATGTTAGCAAAGGATGTTAAACATGGCATTAAATCCCTCAAAACTCACCTTTTCACTCTTGAGTTCAACTCCTAATCCGCTAACTCCCCTCCCCTATTCCACCTAGCATTTATGACACGATTATTTAAGTTCAATTTGGACTCAGAAGCAATGACATTTTAGAAAACTTGTATATTCCTACTAAAGGATTAACACCATTTTAAGAAAGCAGCTTCTTACATTTGCACGAAAAGCTGAAGCTGAAGAGATATTTGCTTGTGTAATGAATTTTTACAATCATATTGACGCATAACTGTAATCCTGTTATGCTTCTTCCCAGCGACACAAAAAGAGCCGTTTGTGAAGCATTTTGAAAGATTCTGATAATATGTGAAGAAAAGTAACAAATAAGAAAACAGTAAAAGACCATTCTTTTCTATTATATGAAAAACTGAAATGTTTCGAGGCGATATTTCATGTTTTTATGGGGTAGAAGGAACACTTGTTAGCAGCCGTCTCCAGGAGCCGCTGCCAGATGAATTGATTTTGCAGTCCAGCTCTTATATTGAACCGTGAAGGGAGAAAGTATTTCCACTCATCCTGTCAATACAGAGCGATGATTACCCACCAAAAACAGCCGTCAGAGTATAAAGCTTTTTGAAAGAAGACATGACCCTGACTATTTTTTTTTTTTTACCGCCTTCGCTGCTCTAAGACGTCAAAATCTGTAACCAGGTTTTTTAAACCTGATGACATTTCTGACCCGGGCTACATCATTTCTCCGGACTTTCCACTCTTTAGTCTCAGGATGATGAAAGCTACCTGCAGATCTTTCCAAAAAGTGCAAATGATGCAAGAGGGGGGATTTGGGTTCAACCCCAGGATTTTGTGAGAATGTTGGTCGAGGTTCCCAGCAGCGAAACTGCGGGGAATTGAAATAGGTAGCTGTCACATGGAGTAAAATTCACCATTCTTCAGCGCTTGAGAATAACACAGAGTGATGCATCAAAGGAGACAGTGTGAAGCCTCTCACACACAAACACACACTCTGTCAGATTCACAAGAACCACTTGCTCCCTCTGTTACACTTCCACAGAGAGGTGAGCCAGAACCACATGTTGCAGGATTTGTCATAGTAGAAAAATGCATTAAGAGATGGATATTTCCTGACTTTTTGCTTTGGTTGGAAGCCAAACAAAACCTAGGAAACCTTGATTTTGTCACTGGATTTCAAATAGTGTGGTTAGTCTGTTTCTCATCAGGATTACAGAAAAGCTACTGCCATGATATTCAGGAAATTGGTGAGATTGTTGTAGCATGAAGGAAGAACCTATTTAAATTGGGGAGTGGATGGGTACACACATCATGTTTTAAGTATAGAAGCAGCTTTAGTTATGTTGTCTCTTGTATTGCTTTTGTATCAGTGTATTCTGAGCCATGTGTAAGATAAGACATGCCCTATAGTGTAATGATGACATAACGGAGGAAAAAAGGTGTAGTAATATTAAAAACAATCAAATCCATCTGATTAAGGAAGAAGAATACATTTAAGATTATCACCCAAAACGAGTCCTTTTTTAAAACGTCAAAGTTTACTTATTTTTATTTAAACGTCAGTAACTTTTATACATTCTTACATAACCAAATCTTGTACCATTTCACATACTCTTTTTAATTTTCTAAACCCAAAGTGTGACATTTTTCTAAGCCTAACCAAGATGTTTCGTTGCTATTAAATAACCAAGTAGTTCTCTTTAACCACATGAAATTATTATATGTTGTATTTCATTTTGGGAGTTATTGGTATGTTCTTTTGTTCATGTATGCCGGCGGAGGTCTGCGTTCTTCTGGTGCCCTTTCTATTGGCATTTAGTGTTTAATCTGTTCAATCTAAATATAGTGCTATGCAGTATTCTGTGTTCTGTCTTCGAAACAGCCTGAAACCTTTTGGTTCCAAAGACACTGAACATGTAGATTATTACTATACATTAAATTCACCATCCTTCTTCCACTACTGATTTCAGAGTCATTATAATAATTGAGATAAGAGCTTCAGATGCTTCCAGAAGAAGGATGATAAGGAGATAAGGAGGAATCTGTTTTCAATAATTGAAGTAGGGGGAAGGGGGTGTGCAAAGAAAGCCCTAACCTGTGTGTGTGTGTGTGTGTGTGTGTGTGTGTGTGTGTGTGTGTGTGTGTGTGTGTGTGTGTGATTGATAAGCTACATAAAGATGGCTGTCAATGGTCCATGTCAACACAAAAGATGAAGGACGTTCTATTGTACAGCATAAACATCTCCAAACCCGTTTATACTGATGTAACCTCGGTTTAAAAACACTAAAAATCTCAACCGTTTGACTGAATATCATGTCTTATAAAAGAGTATTAGACTTGAACATTAAAAACAAAAAAGGCTCTTTTGAAACTGAAAAAAATATGTACTTAAACACAGAAAAAACAGTAAAGAAGGAGGTAACAAATAACATTGTCCATTTGCTTAATCAGGAAAAATGGAGTTATAATATTTCTCAGTTGGATTAAACTGTGCAACACTGTTGATAAATGTATATTAAACTATTCCATCACTGACCAAATAAACAACAGCTGATTCCTGAAGGAAGAAACAGCAACTATAGCAAGTGGAAACTACTGAGCTAACTCCTGTTACTCAAGTTATGAAGCTCACTCCATTTACAACACATTTACCATGCATTGTTGGAAAACGCTCCAAATAGTAGTCTCTGTGTAAACGTGGTGCATGGAGTCAGAATTCATCTATAATTGATATAAAAACGCACAAAGCTAGAAAAATGATTTTACTCCACCAATTGTGTGTATTTTTTAATAATCTCCCTATAGCCTAATGATCACATTATAAGCGATCACCAGCAGCAGCGAAACGCATCTAGTTTCCCCCCAACATGTATCTCCTCACTGCTGAGTAAATAACAATAAACGCATTTCGCGGTGTGTGTCGGGATACCTCATCCTGCGACTCCTTCGCCTTCTTCTTGCTTGGGTCTTCTTTAGTAGCAGTCATTGTACCGGAGCCCCGGAGCTTCTCCTCCCGGTAATAACATCCAAACCTGTCCGCGCGTCAATTTAGCAGCACGAGCATGAAGCTGCAATCAGTGCAGCAGGGAATTCACTTCCGGTGCTGACTTTCAAAATAGTCCCATTGTTTTTTTTTGTAAAACAACCGTTTATGTCTTTAGATGGGAGAAATACTCAGATCTTATATTTGAGTAAAAGTAGCAGTACCAGAGTGTAGGAATTCTCTGTTACAGTAAAAGTCCTGCATTCAAAACGTTCCTCAAGTAAAAGTAGAAAAGTATTAGCATCAAAATATAGTTAATGTACCAAAAGTAGAAGTAGTCATTGTGCAGATTGGTGCATTGCAGAATAATATATAATCTGATTATATATATTCAGATTATATATTATACTTTTAAAATATGCTTTTATTTTTGTAATCAATGCAAACATCTTGTGTCACTTCATATTTTTCTGTCTACAATATTTTTAAGCTATAAAAAAACATATACGGAGCTACCTGATTTTCATAAAATGTCATTTGTTATTAAACAAGAAAAGTAATACTTATCCGGTGTCACTTTGTATATTTCAGGATCATTTCAATAGGTTTACATCGATATAATGCACTACACATTTGACTTCTTATCAGACACCAAACTATCGATTTTTACAAGTCTACAATAGTTTGTTGATTGCATGTTACTTGTCAGACGCTTTTATCCAAAGCGATTTACATACTCAATACTGTGGGCAATCCCCACAGGAGCAATTTGGGGTGAAGTGTCTCAGGGACACAACGACATGCTGACTGCAGTGGGGTTTGAACCTGTGACCCCCTGATCCGAACACCAACGCACAACCCACTGCGCCACACGCCTGACACATCTTTTAAATGTCAATTTAAAAAACGACAGGATTTTATTTCGAAAACCAATGTAAACATCCGGTGTTACTACACACATTTCTAGCTAACTTCAGAAAGTCTATTTTTTCTTCTCTCTACAAATAGAATCATGATTAATGGAGTATCGGCTGTGTCGCTGTCCATGGTGCTGAAACGGTCCCTGTCTCTTTGAATGTAGCCTGCAGGTGCTGAGCACTGAAATGAATGTAGACACTGCAGGAGAATTGGGGAACATGTGCAACTGATATATCTCAGCATACAACTTCCCCAGCAGATTACTTGCATTCGGATGATTATTTTTTGTATTACAAGTTATCTCAAATGTTACGTTTAAATATGCAAATTAGGCATAATCATATTAAATATCTTCACGTTTTTGGACACAAATCTGAATACTGGATAGATATTTGACGTGTTTGAGGCATTATGAAATGTTATATTTTGTGTAGCCTTAGGAGAAATCTACTGACACAAATATCAATAGTTGTTAGAATCACCACCATGTGTATATTATACTTTAATAATACTATTTTTTCTGTTTTTCTGTGTTATTGTGTTGCACTGTTGGAGGAGCCTGTGACTTAAGATTTTCAATGTCATAACTACACTGTAGCTATGACTAATAAAAGCCTTGAACCTTGATGAAGACATGCTATATAAGCAAATATCTCACTTTAAAGTATAGGCAATAACTAATAAGATATTTTAATGAAGTAAAGCCCTGGATTCAAAATGGTCTAACACTGGATTATAATCATTGATGTATTCATCATTTGAATGTTGCTGATGCTGAAGGTGGAGCTCATTTGAATGACTTCATATACTGCTGGGTAGCTTTGTGAATGTCTCCTGGGGATCAATAAAGTTTTACCTTCGTCTATTATAAAACCTCATAATGAAACCATCACATTTTAAGTCCCTTATTAATTAAAGCTGCAACAGGAAATGAACAAATGTGAAATCACTCATTACTTTAGTTTATAATTAAACCAAAATCATGTCTGGGGTTTTAAGTTAACCCTCAAAAATAGACGATGTACTTGACTTTATATTAATAGTTATATTTACCATATTGTATTGATTGATTGTTGTCTTTTGATCTTAATGTGTGCATGTGTATAAATGTGTCTGTTGATTGTGTATATATAGGATATACATATTTTATACATATTTTTATATATATTTGTACTTTTGTATTTGGGATTGTAGGAAATGGTATTTCGATCTCTCTGTCTGTCTGTCACAAACTGAAAGATTGACAATAAAGTTGACTTTTACTTGATTACAATTAAAAATGATTAGATCGCCCCATTGACAGAACATAAAAGAACGACTTGGCCAAACTGTATCCCTGTAAACCACGTCGTTGTATTTGTATGGCTAAACAACAACAAAATGAGCCTAAAATGCTAAATCTACGATACCTACTGGTCTTTATAGTATTGGTACAGCAGTGTGATGTTCCCATAGTGAATGACTGCCTGTGTCTTACACTTTGTGTTATTTTTACCCCGGATGATGTCACTACTCCTACAGTATCACTTCGGGGACTGGGAGCTCTTGTGTGATATCTCGTATAAGAATACGCCTTGGAAATAACTTATAGGATTAAAGCATGTGCGTGTCATTGGAGAGCGGAGCGCGGGAACGAAGCGAGACAATCAAGCAGATCAGTAACCAGCTGGCCTTTCCCGCTGCCAGAGGACTGGGTGCAAACTGATAGGTGTCACACAGAAAGCCCTGAAGACACACACTCGATAACGATAACAGGAGGTGGGGGAATAAAGGAATGAAGAGGGGAGGAGTGGAAGACAAAAGGCAAACCAGCCTGCAGATATTAGTCATGGGAGCATCTTCTGATTAAATACACTTGTGGGGACAATTGGTCCCCACAAGGATAGAAATGTACCCCTAAACCCTGGAAATTAGTCGGCATTCGACTCGATGTTTTTTAATGGGTTTTTGTTTGGATGGATTATGGACTGAAGCTTAAGAGATTTTATTGGTAATGTCCTACGATGGAAATGAGTCAGTTCCATTCGGGAATTTATAAGCTTTTTGGCATATATTTATTTTCAAGTGCCAATCACGCTAGCTTTCTGTTTTGTATTTTTTTTGTGGTGTTTATTCCTAAGATTATCTCAAATGTTTCGTTTGCCACAAAGGTAATTTTCTGCAGTCATAAAAAAGACAAAGGAAAAAAAAATCAAAAAACAAAACCTTCCCTAAAAATCTGTTTTTTAAATTCTTAATTATTAGCTTACACCTATTCATTTCATCCATAGCTTGCTAGATACATATTTATTAAATGAACCTATTCGAATGATCTGTTGAAAGTCTGTGTGACATAGTAAAGCCCTGCATTCCAAATTGTAAAAAGTACATTCAGTACTATACAGGATAATTTAAGAATCACGTAAGTAACATAAGTGCAGTACACTTATTTATCCCTTCAAAGCCTTTTAATTCACTCTTATTGTAATTGGTTTGCATTCAAGAAGCTTCCAAAATACCTCTTATAGAGAGAGCCTATGTCCTTTTTTTAAATGGAGCTCTTCTGAGTACAGGGAAGAATAGAATACACATCGTGACACGTCTAGAAGCCTGTGTGCTTGAAGAAATGAGCAGATGATGGAGACCGGAGGAAACGCTGGAGGTCAACGAGCAGGGAATTGCAGCAGAGGGGAAGAAATAAAGAGTATATAGGGAGAGGTGGGGGGGGGGTGAGGATGATGGAAGCTGTGGAGGGCAATATACTCAAAGCTTGCGTTGGACTCTGTTCTTCATTAAATATTTAGAGTGTGGAATCAGAGAACTCACGGAAATGATCCCTCTCTCTCCGACCTCTGCTGGAATTTTGGAGCTTCACCAGCGTCCCTGAGGAAGAAAACCTAACAACCTATTTTGGCATGCGACGTGCATTAGCATTTGTGCATGTTTGCATTGCATATTTGTGTACCTGTCAGAGTTTTTGTGCACACACACTGCTGTTTGACTATGAGCAAGCATTCGACCCACTATGCAGGATTAAAGGTGTGTTTTATTGCCACTGTGAATTGATTTATTGGATAGAGTCGTAGCGTATTTAGCACCATGTTTATCTCTTTGGTGTTATTACAGCTTTCTTTTATGGCTCCTTTCCCCTTGGAAAATACAAGGTTGTTTTGCACCTCCTCTGGAAATCAAACACAACAACCTGAGGCTGTGTCAAGACCCTTTAACACCAATTTGATTTAGACTGGGACCCTTTTGGCTATTGGAATCCCTCGTGAATCCTATCCAGATGTTATTTTAGTTGTTGTGCAGCCTGTAGCAAAGGCAGCAAGCATGCAACACTTTGTTTGAAACAGTTGAATATCCTCCTCCACCTATTTTCGAAACCCCTTTGGGTTTAACTCTAGCCCGGGCTGAGGTACACCTGGGAGGACAGGTGAATGTAATTAACCTGCTGTCTGCAGCTCTGTGCTGGAGAGGTTTGGTTGAGAAGATAAAAAAAGGTTCCTAAGTGTGTTATCGACCCTGGCTGATGTGAGGTGAAGTCCTGATAAGAGCCAGTTAAGTTTAGAAGGTAAAGTGCTTCACTGCATGTCACTTAATTAAATACCTTAATGTGACTTCAGCTGCACGTGATTGTCTTTTTAAAAGTAACTTCTAAAGGGTACTCCTTTCTTTCTTGTTGTGATTCCAGATTTCAGAACAATGCTGCCTTCACGCGGTCATTGTGTGCTTTTAATAAAGCAATACTCTGATAATTTCAGGTGTATATCAGTATGTAGTGTCTCTACTTTAAAGAGTCCTCTCCTGCTGATGTCCAGGTGTATATCAGTATGTAGTGTTTATGCTTTAAAGAGTCCTCTCCTGCTGATGTTCAGGTGTATATCAGTATGTAGTGTCTCTACTTTAAAGAGTCCTCTCCTGCTGATGTTCAGGTGTATATCAGTATGTAGTGTCTCTACTTTAAAGAGTCCTCTCCTGCTGATGTTCAGGTGTATATCAGTATGTAGTGTCTCTACTTTAAAGAGTCCTCTCCTGCTGATGTTCAGGTGTATATCAGTATGTAGTGTCTCTACTTTAAAGAGTCCTCTCCTGCTGATGTTCAGGTGTATATCAGTATGTAGTGTCTCTACTTTAAAGAGTCCTCTCCTGCTGATGTTC